AGTGCAATGGCATGATTTCACCTCACTGCAACCTCTGCCTTCCGGGTTCAAATGATTCTCCCACCTCAGCCTCCCCGGTAGCTGGGATTACAGGCACACGCCACCACGTGCGGCTAATTTTTTTGTATTTTTAATAGAGACGGGGTTTCACCATGTTGGCCAGGCTGGTCTCAAACTTCTGACCTCGGGTGATCAGCCCACCTTGGCCTCCCAAAGTGCTGGGATTACAGGCGTGAGCCGCCACGCCCAACTTGGTATAAATTTTATGTTATCTGTATTTTAGCACAATTTTTTAAAGGGAGAAATTTTAATTTAAAAAAAGAAGAAAGTCCATTTGTTTGTTTACACTCAACAGAAATTCAACTAAACTCAACTAGTTGTTGAGCAGTTACTTTGGGCAAGGTATTATGTGGTCAATCCTAAAACGATTAAAGATGAGTAAGGCAGTATCTCTGGCCCCAAAGACCTCAAGATTTAGCTGATAGGCAGATACTCTAGCAGACTAGAATCTCCCAGTGGTCTGTGTAATCTTTATAGGGATTGTATAAGGCCAAAACTATTTTCACAATAATTATAAGAATTTATTTGCCCTTTTCACTGTGCTGACACTTGTACTGATGGTAGAAAGCAATGGCTGGTAAACTGCTGGTGCCTTGGCAGGAGTCAAGGCAGTGGCACCAAACTGAGCTATTAGTCACTGCATTCTTCACAGCTACCTATTTACAGTCCAAAAAAAGCAAGCTAATTTCACTTAAGAATATTCCTGGCCAGGGGTGGTGGCTCGCGCCTGTGGGAGGCCGAGGCAGATGGATGACTTGAGGTCAAGAGTTTGAGACCAGCCTAGCCAACATGGTGAAACCCCGTCTTTACTTTAAAAAAAAAAAAAAAAACACACACACAAAAATTAGCCGGGTATGATGGCACACGCCTGTAAGTCCCAGCTACTTGGAGGCTGAGGCATGAGAATCGCTTGAACCTGAGAGGCAGGGGTTGCAGTGAGCTGAAATTGTGCCACAGCACTCCTGCCTGAGTGACATAGTGAGACTGTCTCAAAAAAACAAAAATTAAAATTAAAAAAAGAATATCCTTGATGACACAACAAAAATTAATTTTATTAATTCTCAACCCATGAATATCTACTTTTTTTTCTGTTGCCCAGGCTGAGTGCACAGGCTCCATCATGGTTCACTGTAACCCAACTTCCCAGGCTCAGGCGATCCTTCCATCTCTGCCTCCTGAGTAGCAGAGACTACAGGCACATGCTACCATGCTAGGCTCATTTTTTATTTTTATAGCAACAGTATCTTGCCATGTACATCTTTTTAATATTCTACATGACAAAAAGGAGACTATATAAAAACAGGCTTTTGTTACATACTACAGGAAAAGCACCTGTGATTGATTGTCTGAGTCATGTAATGAACAAGCCATGTTCATGTCTGAGTCATGTAATGAACACTATTCATCAACCATCATCTTTACTTGAGAGACTGTTAATAAGACTTGGGCATTTGGTGTACATCTTCAACATGAACAAAGTGAGTTTTTCACTTCAAGAAAAACTGACAGTATTTGTTGTCAATGATACATTTCTAATTGTTGCTTGAAAAATACATTTTGGAAAATGTGTATCCACAACAGTGAACTAGATAGCTTCCCAATATTTAAAGACTTTTCTGATGAGATCAGTGATATTAACAAACATGATTTTCTTTGATATTGTATAATGAAATGTGTTACTATTCAGAGGATGTTCTTAACTGAGTGAACCATTACTTTCCAAATAGCTAATGCACTATGTCACAAAAATCACACATGGATGAGATTTATTCAAAGTACAAAACAGACCAATGAATCTTAATGTATTAAGTATGAAATTCATTACTAAGGTTTCAAATTCCAATTCAACTAACTTTAAGAAACTACTTTTCTTCCACCTTTCTCTGGGGGGAAAAAAAAGCTACCATTTTAGTGCAGAATATCCACAATTATCTGAAAAGACTAATACAGTATTACTCCTTTTTCCTACTACATATGTGTGTGGGGCTGCTTTTTCTTTAGACACTTCAACCAAACAGCACAAGAGATTGAGTGCAGAAGTGGATATAATTCAGCTTTTTTTTTTTTTTTGAGACAGTGTCTCACTCCGTTACCCAGGCTGGAGTGCAGTGGCGCGATCCCAGCTCAAAGTAACCTCCATCTCCCGGGTTCAAGCAATTCTCTCTGCCTCAGGGTTCCGAGTAACTAAGATCACAGGGATGCACCACCACACCTGGCTAATTTCTGTATTTTTAGTAGAGACAGGGTTTCACCATGTTGGCCAGGCTGGTCTCAAACTTCTGACCTCAGGTGACTTGCCTGCCTTGGTGTCCCAAAGTGCTGGGATTACAAGCGTGAGCCACCTCGCCCAGACATTCAGCTGTCTTCTATTAAGCTAGACATTAAAAGAGGTTTGCAAAAATGTAAAACAATCCCACTCCTCCCACCACTATTTCCTATTTGGGGAAAAAAAGTGGTATTTCTTTAAAACATATAAAAATATGTTTGTTTTTAAAGAAATATTTTTAAATTGTCTAAGTTTAAATTTCTCATGTAGTAAATACTGGAAGATGTAGCCGACATAAACAAAAACTCTTTAGAGTACTCAATAAGAGTATAAAGGGTTCTGAGAGCAAAAAGTTTGAGAAATACTACTACAATCCAATGAGCACTACAAAGTAGAAAAAACGGTGCTCGATTCCAAAAGAAAGAAGTCTTCACAGAAGAAAACATACTGACTGGGAATTTACATGATGGATATATTTTTGTTCGAGTTTCCCTTGTTGGGGGGTCGGGGTGAGAGAGGCACAATCCAAGAAAATGGAAATGGAATATTTTGATGTGCCCTGAAAAAGGATGAGTAGAGACTAATGTAATGGAAATTCGTGTAACAGATATAATTTACTAGAGAGGCTGAATCTGCACAGGAAAGGGGTTGGCCTGCAGATTACAAACTACAGTTTATTTTCTAGAAAATGTGGAGCCATCCAAGAATTTGTACTGAAAAAAAAAATTTAAACCTTCATTTCCTTTGTCAAGACTCCCAAAATAATTAGCATACTTTTTTTTTTCTTCAAGTTTTGAGGACGAAGTCTGAGGTCTAGCTGTGTTACAAAACAAACTTTAACATTTTTCTGGAGTATAAGGCTCTAAACTTTATGCATCATAAGAGTGAAAGCTTAATTCGAAAAGTCTGTGTATGTAAAACTAAACCATACATATTTACATTTAACAGCATGGTCCCTGCTTTATTAAAAAATGCTGCTGAAGGTCCGGCAGGGTGGCTCACGCCTGTAATTCCAGCACTTTCGGAGACCGAGGAGTGAGGATCGCTTGAGCCCAGGATCGCTTGTTGCCCAGCCTGGGCAACAAAGTGAGACCGCCCACACCAATTCCCCGCCCCCGCCCGTCTCTTAAAAAAAAAAATTTAAATACTAATGTAACGGAGTTTATATCTTAAAGGCTTTTTATCCTTAAAGTTCAAACATGGCAAATTCATGTTACTCCAAGTACACTGCAAAAAAAACCAGAACTCTAAATAGTTCTTTGTGTCTAGTCTTCCTCTCTGGTGCTGCTGTCGACTTCTCGTTGCCCTGCTGTCAATGATACGACATATTCCTACAATACCTACAGCGCTTTCAGTTCTACGGTGCCTACACAAAAACAAAATACATTCATAAAGTGGGGCCCCTGGGATGGATGGGAAACGCCTCCAACAAGCCTAGTGGTTGGTCTTTGAGTCAATCAACTAATTCTTGGCAGAAAGCCAAGCAAATGGAAAACAGACTTTGTAACCGGCTAAATCTACAACTCTATGACAATACCTTTCTAAAAATGTTCTGTATTTGCTAAATCTAACTCTTTCCTCTATGTCTCTATCCCTCTGCTGAAAATAAAGCAACTTTATTATGCTGCCATAAACAAGGTTTTTTCCCCCACCACTGGAGAGTATTGTCTTCTTTGCTCTAACAAAGATGCATGCCATTTATTCACTGCAACAGATAAGCAATTATAATCCTGTAAGATTATTCTGTATATGTCGGGCACAGAAATCCTGCCTGCTTTACAAACATTTAAAACTTAGATGAAACTACAGCTCCACCGAAATTTTTAGACATTTAAGACCTTTATTTCCTTCTAGCACACAGTAATTCCTTGCCTTTTCCTATTTTGATGGGCATTTACAATTTGTAAGTACTATTTAAACTAGGCACTGTTGAAAACTACCTGAAAGCAATCAGCTAAGGCAATCTGCAAAAAGAAAGCCCAAGCACAATTTAAGGCACACCCTTAACACGGGGCCAGTTTAAGAGGTAACAACACGTTCCGCGTTTTTATTTTTCATAAGCAGTACACGTTTATAATCCTAAAAACATCTCACCATCATTACAACGGAATTCCTTCCAAAACTTTAAGATGCCGGATGGTTACATTTCAGCCCTTCTAAACTAGCTTACGCTTTACTCCAGCAACCAGCCCCAGCAATCCCGGGTCAATCTGGAGAACTGACACCACCGGTAGGCGGCAACCGAGAGGGACAAGACTTTCAGGAGCAGAATTATGACAGATTCTCTAAGGAAACACTACAATTTTTCCTTCGCCTGGCCCAGGTGCAACACCGATTTATCTTTTGGCCAAAATCTGGCGCCAGGTTTCAAACACGTTTTCATTGGTTGCCACCACAGTGAAGCAGGGAAGGGAGAGGGCTGCTTCCCATTGATCCTTGGAGGATGGAAATAAAGCAAGAAGAGGTTGCAGGGAGACAGCAATCCTATCTTCCCCAAGGCCACTTGGTTTGCCCGGACCTCCACCCAGCAAAGCGCTATTCCACCGTTTGGTAACTTCCATCAATGTACACTTTGGTTGCGCTCTGGGTGCCGGGGGCCCACGCGGGGCTAGTGCCATAAAAGCCCTGAACTGCCTGAAAAAGCGGCGGGCGCCAAACAAGCCAGGGAACGTACCCAGTTTCTTCCACATGGCGAGGTGACAAGCGAGAAAGCCTTTGCGGATGGCAGCGCAAACCTTAGCCGGCTCGGATGACGTGAAACCCTTCTGCTTCTTGATAAAACCCCACAAGTGCTCCCGGGCAAACTGTGCCGCCTCCCGCCCGCCGTGCCCGTCGCACACGGCGAAAAAGGCCACGGAGGAACGGCGGCGGCAGCAGCGGCTGGGTGCAGGCGAGGCCCCGGCGTCCGGGGGAGGGTCGCGAGCCTCTCGGGCTGCCACCGCTGGGCCTTTCCCCGAGACTTCGCCGCCGGCAGGGGCGGGCGGCGACGGCCGCAGAGACAACGGCTGAGACAGCGACCGCCGCGGCGAGGGCTTTTCTTCAGCCGTCGGTTCAGGCTCCACAACGATCTGAGTAACGTCCTCCATGTACTTCCTCCCGCCCTGGTCGGAGAAGACGCTCACTCCCAGCGAGTACAGCCCCGCCATGGCCGGCTGGCCGGGATCCCGCCGGTCCCACGCAGCCCGCCGAATCCGGCGGCGGGAGACACACTAGGCGCTCGCCGGCCAACTATTGTTTATCTTCGACGACGCCGAGAGGGGGGAGGGGGCGGTCCCGGAGAGGGGGGGGCGCGCGATGTCTGGACTTGTCCGCGAGAGCTGGGCCGGAGCGCCGGAGAGAGCGAAGCCAAGCAGTTGCGCCTGCGCACTGTGCTTCCCCCGCCCGTCCGCGCCCACCACACAAATCAGGCGTTCTCCCCCGCTAACGTCACCCGGCTCTCTGAGCCCGACCAATCCGGAGTCGAGTGGAGCGAGCCCGCCCTCCGTCCCCGCCTTCGCTCCCGCCCGCGACAGCCGCGCTCCCTCCTCCCGCTGCTGGCGCTGGGCCCGCGCACCTACCAATTTGCTTCACCCACGCCGCGGGCTTTTTCGCCCTCCGGGTTGTCGGCGGTTGCTGATCCTTTTCCGAGCGACTTGGTCTGTGTAGGCTTTTGGCTTAGTCCAGGGTTCTTAATGCGGCCTGCTGGCTTTGGCGTCCCGCTGCTCCCTTTGCCGGGAAGGTGGTGTGGACTCGGGCCCCCAGCGAGTGGAGAATGAAAGGAGAAGAGTTCACCCTCCTCCTGAGCGAAATGGCGGGAAACCTCCCTTCCGAGGGGCGATTGTGAGCTGGCCGGAACAAGTGCGGCACCCTTAAACTGGATCTGGGTGGGACGTATCCGACTGGGAATGGAGGAGGGAGGCAGTCCAGTTCTGTTTTTAAAAAGCATTTGGGAAATTTCCACCGTCAGCTGCACAGTCTCGGTTCACGTAACTAGGTATTGTCAGAGACGAAAGAGGGCTGTATTCTAACAAATTCTTAGCAGATCTTTTCAGCTTTTGTTAAAGGTAGTGCTTGTTCCGACCAGCTCTGGATACAGCATTTTATTCCTGCGGTATCACTTCAAGTTATCACTTGAAAATAACTGACAAAACCTGCCAAGAGCCCTAGTGCTCTAACGGTTTGGTGATCGTCCGGTCTCTTCACCGAGTCGGTCACAATCCCAACGCTAAAACCTTTGCACTGATTTTCACGGAATTAAGCCGCAGAGCGAGGAATACACTAGTATTTGCTCAGCATACGTTTTGTAGTTGAATCACTTTAAAGTTCACTTTTCCCGTTTTTGGCCACTTCATCATCAATCTGTACTTTACAACCTTTGAGAACTTCAAATGGCCTGAAAACAGTATGGAAACGGGAATGGGGGGAATGTACATACAGTTGGCACAAGAAATACAAATAGAAAAGATCTTTATACCAATAAAAATATAAATAAGAAAAAGCAGCTCAAGAAAATGTAGAAAATCGGGCCGGGCGCGGTGGCTCAAGCCTGTAATCCCAGCACTTTGGGAGGCCGAGACGGGCGGATCACGAGGTCAGGAGATCGAGACCATCCTGGCTAACACGGTGAAACCCCGTCTCTACTAAAAAATACAAAAAACGAGCCGGGCGAGGTGGCGGGCGCCTGTAGTCCCAGCTACTCGGGAGGCTGAGGCAGGAGAATGGCGTAAATCCGCGAGGCGGAGCTTGCAGTGAGCTGAGATCCGGCCACTGCACTCCAGCCCGGACGACAGAGCCAGACTCCGTCTCAAAAAAAAAAAAAAAAAAAAAGAAAATGTAGAAAATCTGAATAGATCAACTAAATAAAAATAAATATAATCGAAGATATTCATTACCCCAAAAAGCACTAGACCAGATGGTTCCAGGGCATGGAAACGCTTGAAAAAGAAAAAAATCCCAGCTTGTTTGGAAAGGTGATCATAACCCTGTTAATAAAACCTAAGTGTTATGAACACTAAAAGGAAACCTACGGACCCTGTTTTGTAACGATGAATACAAAAATCCTAAATGAAATATTAGCATTGTAATAAATCCATATCACAAGACCTGCAACAAGAATGGTTTGTGTAGCTCTATATTATTCATCTTAACCGTTCACCACGTTTGACCCAAGAGATTACCAAAAGATAATTCCATCATGCTTTATAATCCTTTCCACTTCAATCACAACCAATGGGATCTGCGTCATCCCTTTATTGCTCTGGTATCTCCATGCTACTCTACTTCAGCCACTCTGATTCCATATCCCACTCTTCACCAAACATCCTAACCATTTCACTTCACACTTTGGATTTCAACATCTGCCATCAGCCACTTCCCCTTTATTCTTAGCCTCTTCTGTAAGTGTTCCCATCAACTTCCCATTCCAACTGAAACCCGGTTTATCACTTAGCAAAACTACCTCCCTTGCAACTTTTCAAGTACAGGAGGTTATTTTTCCTCTCACAGGTATTCTTATCTGTGGCCTACTCCTCATACTGCCTCCAAACCACTTCTCTTCCATCCTCCCTCAGAAACTCAAGTTCTTTTAAAATTTATACAGACTGCTACTACTGTGAGATGCTGTCAGCAACTGATCCCTGGTGTCTCCCTGTCATTTTTCATAGCCCACTGTCTTCGTTTCTTCCACTATTCATGTCACTTCTCATCCACTTTATTTTTCAAGATACTATCCATATCTTCCATACTGTCTCCTTTTCAAGAGCTTTACTGCTCCAACAGTTATCCTCCTTGCTTGTGCCTTGTCAATCTCTCCTTTCTCTTTCTAAATCTTAAAGACAGGGACTTGCTATGATGCCCAGGCTGGGGTGCAGTGATTATTCACAGGCACAATTATAGCTCACTGCAGCCTCAAACTCCTGACCTCAAGTGATCCTCTAACTTTAGCCCCCAAGTAGCTGAGATTAAGCATGTGTCACCACACCCAGACTAATTTCTCCTCTTCTGGGTCATTTCCATTTGTGTAGAAATATGTTCTGTTTTCTTTCTTTTTTTGAGACAGAGTCTCCCTCCATCACCCAGGCTGGAGTGCAGTGACGTTATCTCGGCTCACTAGCAACCTCTGTCTCCTGGGATCAAGGAAATCTCATGCCTCGGCCGCCCTAGTAGCTGGGACTACAGGTGTGAGCCACCATATCTGGCCACTATTACCTCTTACCTGGACCACTACACTCGCCTCCTCACAAATCTTTCTTTCACTCTTGGCCTTCTGCAATTCTTTTTCCTCTAGCTACTATAGCGATCTTTCAAAAACCATAAATCAGATCAAGTCATTCTTTTACTCAATACACTCATGGCTTCCATCACATTTAAAATAATATGGGCCAGGCGCAGTGGCTAACACCTGTAATTCCAGCACTTTGGGAGGCCAAGGCGGGCAGATCACTTAAGGCCAGGAGTTGGAGACCAGCCTGGCCAAGATGGTGAAACCCTGTCTCTACTAAAAATACAAAAATTAGCCAGGCATGGTGGCGTGCACTGGTAGTTCCAGCTGCTCGGGGGAGAGGATGAGGCAGGAGAATCACCTGAACCTGGGAGGCAGAGGCTGCAGTGAGCTCAGGTCACACCACTGCCCTGAAGCCTGGACAACAGAGACTTTGTCTCAAAAAAAATAAAATAATATGCAAACTCCTTATGAAGGCCTGAATCATCTGTTTGGCCCCTAAATGTTTGTCTAACATCTTTTCATAACACTTTCCCCTTCGCCACTAACTGCTAGCTCACTGGCCTTTTTTCTGTTCCTTGAACAGAAAATATCAAACTATTAGGAGACTTAGTGATTTTTTTTTTTTCATTAGCAGTTCCCTCTCCTTGAAATGCCATCCCCGCTCCCAGCAGCTTTACAAAGCTGGATTATTCTTGCTACTCAGATCTCAGTTGAAATATTGAGGCCAGGCGTGGTGGCTCATGCCTGTAATCCCAGCACTCTGGGAGGCCGAGGCAGGCGGATCACGAGGTCAGGAGATTGAGACCATCCTGGCTAACACAGTGAAACCCCGTCTCTACTAAAAAATACAAAAAATTAGCTGGGCGTGGTGGCTGTAGTCCCAGCTAATCGGGTGGCTGAGGCAGGAGAATGGCGTGAACCCAGGAGGCGGAGGTTGCAGTGAGCCAAGATCGTGCCACTGCACTCTAGCCTGGGTGACAGAGTGAGACTCCGCCTCAAAAAAAAAAAAAAAAAAGAAAGAAAGAAATATTGAGGGACTTTCTTAACTACCCAATCTAACGTAGCCACCCAATATCTCTGTTTCACATAACCCTATTTTAATTATCTGCAGAGGACTACTCACTAGCTGATCTTTTTCATTTGTCCCAATTAGACTACAGTCTCCATGAGAACAGGGAACTTGTCTTGTTCATTGCTGTACACTCTGAGCCTCGGACAAAGAGTTGTTGAGTGAGTTAATTAATTAATTTACTTAGCAAGAAATGTATAAAATTAATATGAGGAAAACCAGGAAAATTTGCTAAAGAAAAAAAGTCCTAAATAACATAAAAAGATACCATGTTTCTAGATGAGAAAACAATTGGTCTCAAATTAATCTACAAATTTATTATAACTTTAATCAAAATTCCAACTGGATTCTTTTTTTGTAACTTGACAAGTTGATTCCAACATTTATCTGGAAGAGAAAATGGATAAGAATAGCCAAGACATTGTTGAAAAAGAAGGTGATTAGTTGTTCTACAGATATTAGAATATTCTTTTTTATTGTTATGAATTTTTTTTTTTTTTTTGAAGACACACTCCAGCTCTGTTACCCAGGCTGGAGTGCAGTGGCACGATTTGAGCTCCCTGCAACCTCTGCCTCCTGGGTTAAAGCAGTTCTCATGCTTCAGCCTGCCGAGTAGCTGGGATTACAGGCATGCACCACTACACCAGGCTAGTTTTTGTATTTTTAGTAGAGACGGGTTTTCACCATGTTAGCCAGGATGGGCTCAATCTCCTGACCTCTTGATCCGCCCGCCTCCACCTCCCAAAGAGCTGGAATTACAGGTGTGAGCCACCGTGACCGGCCATATATATTTTTTTAAATACTAAAAGAAAACATGGGATAAAAATATCCTTAAAAATCTTTTTAAGTTTCCTTTGTTATATTTCCAGTGGTTTTAAGCTTAAAATGTCCTCAGTGTCCTTTTAAGCTAGGTATTG